GTCTTAACCTATGAACTACCGTCTTAACCTATGAACTACCGTCTTAACCTGTGACCTGGCATTCTATTTGGGTGAAGACGGTTTTGAGAAATTGAGAATCAATCTAGGGCTCAATCACCGCGTCGTCAACCAGCAAGTGATTTGCCAGTTGCATGATCAAGTGCGCGTATCGGAGCTTCACCCATCCAACTGTCCATCCGTCCATTCATTGGCCAGCTCTGCACACCTGAAAGCCGGCCATGACTTCCGCGTGTGCAGTTAACCGCCAATTAGTTAAATGCGAGTAGTTAAGTTAAACCGCGTTTAACTGCCCGTGCAGGATGGGGATTAATTCCGGTTAGCCGCGTTTAACAGCGTTCAACTTCCGCGCGTGCAGGATGGAGATTGTTTTTAACTTTTTACTAAGTTCTTAGCCACTTAGTTACATTAAACCGCGTTTAACCGCCAGTTCGCCCGAAGCAGAGTACTGCTCTTACCAGCGCTATATGTGGTAAGAGTTTTTTGATTCATGCATGGGCCGGTAGCGAAAGTGGCAGGCTACTTTGAAAAGGGGCAGTTGCAGGCGTAGGAGCCTCGGAAAGTAGCTTCGTCAACTTAGGCGTGCGTGAAATAACTGGTGGTTTAACAGTTTCAAGTTTCAACCAATGAGTTAACAGTATATTAGTCAATGGGTCAACCTTGTATTAAGTTATGGGTTAACAGCTTAACATTATATTAAGTTATTAACCCCCTTCCCTTTCCCCCTCCCCTTTCCCCCACCCCCACCTTCCCCCTTTCCCCTCCCCCCTCCGCACGCACACAAGAAAAACAAAAGATATGTTGATGGACATGTGCACGCCGATTGACGGACCGACAAGTCGAGCAACTGATGGAACAAGCAATCACTCCTCTGACAGTTGATTCTAGATGGAGATGAATTGGGGAATGGGAATGGATGAATGAAAGGATGGAGGCATGAATACATGGATGGGTGGGTGGGTGGGTTAAGATGGATGGATGGAGTCAATGTGGTGATGATGTACGCAAATTTCTTCAGTGGTTAACAACAATGGGTGAGTGGAGGGGCCTTTCTCACTTGCTTCATGTGATCATTCAGTGTCCTGTTGGTGCCCATTTTGGGTTTGTGTCGCCATGATTTAGCCTCTCCTGTTGTTCTTTCGTACTCGACTCTAACAGTGAGCGTATGAACAAGGAAGGAAGGAAGCCTCGGAAGGAGAGTAAGTGGGAATGATGGGGCCCGATTTCAGGCTAGAAGCTAGTCGGAATGCAGCTCCACTGGCAATCAAAGATTCGCCGCATGAGGGATGGCGAAACGGGCAGATGGATGATTGTATCGACGCGCTGCCATATATCGATCAGGAATATGGAGACCAGAAGTGGAAGGATGACGTTAGCAAACTCATCGAGGAGGAGATGCGGAGGAGCAGAAAAACTCCTGCTGACTTTCTGGCTGAGTTGCCTCCTTTGCCCAATCTCAACTTTGAGGTAGGTACTCGGTACCGACACGCCCCCCACGGCTACTCCTCCCCCTCCCTCCCCCTCCCTCCCCCTCCCGACAACTCACATACACACAAAACAGAAAAAAGAAAAAGAAGAGTAGTAGGGGCAAGACAGAAGGGAGAAACTCTTCATTGATCATATGATCGAATCCTTTCCACGATCTTACCCTTTTCATCTCTCCCTCTCCCAACTTTCTTCTCCCTTCTCCAGGTTGCAATGCCGTTCTATCTTACGTCCAATCTTCTTCTCTCATTTGAGTTGCTTTCCATTCCTCTCTCATTATATAGATGATACCACCTACACACCTTCCTTTGGGGGTATCCTCTGAAATCACAGGTGGGTAGTGCACAACTGTCCGGCATGTTGTGACAGAGGATAGTGTGTGACATGAGGGCAGCGCATGGCATTCTGGCGTACTGTGCGTAACAGTCTGGCACGCTGCGTAGCCAGTCTCATCCGCTTTTTGCCTTTGCTGCTCGTACGTATCCAGCCGCTTTTTGCCTTTGCTGTTCAACCAGTTGACGTTTTCTATACACTCTTATGAAAGAAGGAATGGCTTCTGGCTGTCCTTCAGGGCATCCGTTGAAACTGGAACGATACAGAGAAGGGTAGATTAGCAAATGGCCCCTGCACTTCAAAGGATGACATCATGACACGCATAAATCGAGAAATGGTCCCCCCAAAAACCAAAACAATGAAGGAATGGCTTCGGGCTTCTGCTGCACTAATGTTTTGTTCTACGCACCGAGCTGCGTGTGAAGGTGTACACAGCATTCTGGACCTTTCTGGCACATTGCAGTCTACAACTGCATGCAGTGCACGCTCCGCGTCTGAATCCGATGCAGGCGCTTTCGCGGCGCCCCGGCGAAGATACAAACTGAAGTGCATATGCTAGGATGTATGTAGCCTTGGGCTACACTACATACATGGCAACCGTTTTTTTGCCTGAGTTCAACGCACCCTCATCATGGATGTTAAAACGAGCTATCTTTCCGGGTCCAGTATAGTCATGATGGGAGTGCAGTGTGTCCCAGGGAAGACGAGCAGTATAGCCGACTAAGCCGAGGAGAGTTACAACCCAGAATGACTATAGCGGTAGAATAGCCTATTGCAATTATAGCCCGTGACAATTTAATAGCCCAGCAAATGGCAGGCATTCAACCCAGGGTAAGTCTGTAGTCTTTTTTTTTTTTTTTTTTTTTTTTTTTTTTTTTTTTCCTCCTGTAGTCTTAACTATACCAAACACAAGTATAGGCCAGTTGGCACAATACTAAAATGTGACCGTTCTTTTTGTTTGAAAGGAAAAAGAAGAAGGACGACGTCCTCACGACATCATTAGTGAACTGACCTGCCCCTGGTAAAAAAACTTCAAAAATTGTGTTTTTCAGACTTTTTCTGGTCATCTGATTGCATCTGGGTTCGAAATCGGGTCTGTATTTCAACAGTTGGAAAAAAAACAAAAAGGGGCGACGGCCTCGCGAACTGACCGCCCCCTGGTGATTCATAATTATTTTATTTTGGTCATCTGATTGCATCTGGGTTCGAAGACCCAAGTCTGTATTTCAACATTTCCACAGTTGGAAAAACAAAAAAGGGGCGACGCGGCGACGGCCTTGTGATATCATCAGTGAACTGACCGGCCCCTGGTGATTCATATTTTTTTTCATTCTGGGTCATCTGATTGCATCTGGGTTTGAACTTGCATCCGTATTTTTCAACAGTCGATGTGTGTTCCCAACTGAGCTAGGCCGGGTGTGACTCTTCCCCTACAGGGGGGATACTGCATTATTGATATTCACTTCAGAAGTTGTGATGTGCTGTGTCAGAAGAACTAGACCTTCAGCCTACTGACTTGTGCTTCTTCTCTGGTTGCCACCTTGGGTAAATGTTTGCAGAACTGCCCACTTCTGGCAAAAGAGTTTGAGCGCGTGCAGGCAGGGAAGCCATTTGGGGCATCTATAGACTTGTCGCGCTACAGCTTGGAGCCCCCTGGTCCCAATGAGTGGAATGATGTGCTGGCATGGAAAAAGGCACTGGCAAATGCCCGAGCACAGCTCGGTCAAATGCATTTGAGGTATGCAGTCAACACTCCAACTTAGTCAACTCTTCAACTTAGTCAACTCTCTCTACAACTTAGTCAACTCTCTCTTCAACTTAGTCAACTCTCTCTACAACTTAGTCAACTCTCTCTTCAACTTAGTCAACTCTTCAACTTAGTCAACTCTCTCTACAACTTAGTCAACTCT